GGGAAAGAAACTGTTGTATTGAAAAAGACTATTATTGCCCTAATAAGCTTTAATTTAAGGAAGAAAGCTGGTGATAGAAATTCACAAGGAAAAAGGCTAGCGACGAAGAGTAATCAGGAGCATAGGGAAAAACAAGTCTCGAAACAAATTAAGGAACAACAAAACTTGATCCAAATCCAAGAAAATGAATGATATACAGTGTTATAAGTCTAGAAAAACAAGGCATAAAAAATGAGAATGTCTAAAGAAAAAGAAAAGGGATGTGGAGAATAAAAAGAGTTTATCAAAGCCTATGAATGTAGTGGAAAAAGACTCAGAGAATAGTGACAAAGACATGCTTTCTATTTCATTCAGTTCAGATTATCCTATAAATTCTTAGATTTGGATTCAACATGTTCTTATCATATGACTTCTAATAAAGATTGGTTAGACAACTACAAGTTAGTCAACTCTGATTTTATATAGGTAATGATAATTTATGCAAAGTTATTGAAATAAAAAATATCAAAATTAAAATGTTTGATGATATTGTTAGAACTTTGTATGATATTAAACATATACCAAAGTCGAGGAAGAATTTTATTTCATTAAGCATTTTAAATTGTAATAGGTTCAACTTCAAGTCTGAAAGTGGAGTATTGAAAATAAGTAAATGTTTTGTGATAGTTATGAAGGGATAAATATTGCTGAGAAATATTTGTAGACTATTAAGTATCATAGTTGTAGGTGGACCTGTAATTGTAAAATCCAAGTCAGATCATATAGTTGTGTGATACATGTGATTAAGTTAGATGGGTGAGCATGGGATGATGGAGCTTCATAATAAGAATTTATTGAAGGGTGTCAAAACATGCAAGCTTGATTTCTATAGATATTGTGTTTTTGAAAAATAAAATTACATGCAGTTCAAGATAGCCATACGTAGGACATAAGATTTTGTACTATGTTTATACAAATATTTATGGCTTAGTAAGGGTAATATCACGTGGAGGATAAATGTATTTCGTGATCTTCATTAATGACTATTCATGAAAAATTCGGGTGTACTTCGTACAACATAAGTGAGAAATATTTTCCAAGTTCAAGTATGAGAAGTAGAAGTAAAAATAAAAAACCAGATAAAGAGGAGGATCAAATGCATTAAGTTAGACAATGGTATTGAGTTTATAAATTCAAAATTCATGGAATTGCATGAGCAACATGGGATCAAAAAACACTTCACTGTATCTAAGACACCACAATATAATGATGTAGAGGAAAAAATGAATAGGATAATAGTTCAAAAAACAATGTGTCTTTCGCTTAATGCAAGACTTGTTATGAACTTTTTGATAGAAACAATGAATATAATATGTTTCTTGATTAACAAATCATCTAAGATAACACTAAATAAAAATATAGTAGAAAAAATATTGACAAACATTTTAGCGGACTTTAAGAGTGTTTGAATGTCCATTTTATATACATGTTTTTAATGATGGGAGGTCAAAGCTTCATACAAAATCTAAACAATATATCTTTTTGGGATATCATAAAGGAGTGAAAAGTTTTGAAATTCACAATTGCTTGAAGCCTTCCAAACTTACACGGACAATTATTTACAAGAAACATCAGAAGAAGGTATTATCATATCTGAAATTGAATATTCTTTGTGGGGCTTTTTTTCAATCTACTTATGATTTAGTTGTTGTTTGTTTATAAAATGTTGTCGTTGAGGCTGTTAAGAAGAAGCACCAAACCTTTAAGAAGCCTTACTCAAGGTCTATAGTTGGTGCTCCTTTGAAATTTATACGATAGAGGAGAACCGAGAAGCCAAAGGTCTGTGATGCTGCTCTAGCTCTCTCACTTTTAATCTCTTGTGATTTGTGAATTGGGAGGTGTTGCCTTTGGTTTCTATTTACTAAGGTGTTGTAGGTGGATTCTTTGTGCTTTTATTTTAATGGTTGTTTTTGTTATTTTAAGTGAAATCAAATAGAGAATCAAGAAAACTAGGGATGAAAAGAAGGCAGAGAAAGTCGAGTTGATGGCCAAGTCACAAAAGACACAATCCAAGGGCAGGCCTAAGGGTGCTGCACCAACCTAAGCTTGGCGGAGATGGTGGTGGAAAACGATGGTTTACTTCTTTGTTTCTCTTATTTTTAAAGTAGATAAAGCACTCGAAAGTTGCTTTTTTTTTCCTTTCACGTATGGATATTTTATTGGTCCTAGAGATCAAATTCCTATTATAGATTTTACTAAGGATCTTCGCTCGAATGGAAGGCTTTTTAAGCCATTGTTAGTTGCTTTTGCTGTCATATTTTTGTGTTTTGCAAATTTTCTAGCTGAAGTATCTGTTTTGACAGTGAGCCTTATTTCAGTTATTTGTATCAAAGTCCTCTCCAACTAGGGCATTTTTTTCCCCTAGTAATCCAAGTTATGGTAATTGCTATGTGCACAAGGATGGAAAATGAGGGGGCACTTATCGTATCAGTTTGTTCTTCTTTCTTTTCCTGTCTTGCTAAGGTATCACCCATCCCATTTTTAGATGCAAGGACAGCTAAAATGAGATTACATTAGATGCCACACAAGTAGTCGGAGAGACAAGGATCTTCTCCAGTCCTTGAACAAGAGAACTATTCAAGAGAACAAGAACCCACCCAAAAATCACGAACTAAACCATCTATTTCCATTGAACTACTGCCTGGGATCTTCTCCAGTCCTTGTTTCTTCATCTCATTCCTTACTTCAATGGCTTTCTCATACAAGCCTGCAGCTGAGTACAAGTTGGATAAAACTGTGTAACAGCTGCCATCAAAAGGGTCTAATTGCAAAAGATGTTTGGCAGCATATTCACCCATCACTACATTTTTTAGCCGACATGAAGCTCCAAGAAGAGCACCCCACATGGGAACGCTGGATTTCATCTGTGACGCCTGTGAAGAGTCTATCAAGTCCCGCGCTTCCTCTAAAAGATCTGCACGGCAGAGAAGATCCACCATAGAACCATAATGCTCAACCTTTGGCACTAGGCCATGTTCTTCACTCATGAGTTGAAAAAATCTTTTTCCTTCATCAACAAGGCCCAAATGGCGGCATACACTTAATAAGCCGAGAAAAGTTACGCCATCCGGTAGAGTATTTGACCTCAACATGTCTGAAAAAATTGCGAAAGCCTCTTGGCCATGACCATGGGCAGCTAGTTTATGAATCATTGAGTTCCATGCCCCCACATCTCTCTCCTCCATACTTTTGAACACTGAAAGAGCCCTCTCAATGTTTCCACACTTCGCAAACATCTCAACCAAAGCGGTACCCAGAACAGAATCCACATCAATCCCATTTTTCTCTATGTGAGCTTGAATCCATTCACCTTGCTCCAAAGCCCCCAAATAAGAACAAGCCGTAAGCACACTTACCATGGTAAACCTCGAGGGTTCTATTTTAGCCACACGCATCTCTTTAAATATCTCCGATATCTCTTTATATCTACCCTCTCTTGTATACCCATCAATCATCAAATTAAAAGTGATTACATCCTTCATTTCCCACGGCATCTTGTCAAAAAATCCTTTCGCATCCTCCATTAGACCCAAACTCACATACCCACCAATCATGGTATTCCAAGAAACCGAATTCTTTCCCACCATTTGATCAAACAACTCTCTAGCCTCCATCAACAATCCAGCCTTAACATACCCATCAATCAAACAATTCCATGTAACTAAACTCCTCTTTGACATTCTATCGAACATTTGCTTCCCCTCCTCGACGAAACCCAAATCAACCAACCCCCTGATCATCGAATTCCACGAAACCACATCCGGGTCATCTATTTTATTAAAAACTTGACAAGCAAAGCCAATTAACCCACAAGATGAGTACATGCTAATCAAACTATTTTGCACAAAAAGATCTTCACTCAACCCATGTTTAAAAACCAGCCCATGAACTTGTTTACCCTCTTCAATTGCTCTAACCTGAGAGCATGCTTTCAAAACAAAAGGGAAAGTTAGCTTATTTGGCCCAGAATTGGCGTTACAAAGCATGCTATAAAATAAAGAAAGCGCATTTTCGGGTTTCTCCCTCTGCACGTAGCCTCTAATCATTACATTATAAGCAAATGTATTTGGGCTTTTATCAAAATTGAAGATTGACTGAGCATAGTTGATGTCTGCATATTGAGAGATTGATGAATAGCACAAGAGTCTAGTGAGGGCCAGTGGGTTTTTAATGAAGCCAAGTTTAGTGAGTTGGGCATGGAGTTGAGCAAACTCGGTGGTATACTTGCAGATTTCTAAAAGGGAAAGGCATGATTTGAGAGAGAATGACTGGAATTGATTGTGGTTTTTGGTGGGTTTTGTGGGCAGAAGAGAAGGCGGCAGAGCAGACATCAGTATTTCAAATGGCAGTTTGTGTCTGTGGGTGGAGCGCAATGGATTAATCAATAAAAAAATATTCCTTCCAATTTGGGAATTAAAGGAGGAAGGTTTATAATTATAATTTTTACAAACCAAATTTACTATTTTAATCTTATTTATTTGAAAACTCAAATTTGGATTAAATTTATGTCACGAGCTTTTATATGAAGAGGAATAATAGCATGAACACCATATGAAATAAATACTCGAAATTTAATTTGATTAAGTTTTATATAAAACATAATCAAAATTAACTTTCATATTTATTGTGATAATCAGATATATATCCTTTACTTAAACCATCTCTAAGAGCTGATCTTGTTATTTTCGTTACTAATAGTTTCGTGAAGAGGGAATATGGGTAATTGCTTCAACTTCTTCCTTGGTGTGCATCATCCCCCAAGCACGAAATATAAACCGCCAACGACCATTATTAATCCTGTTATTCTATAATTTAAAAAGAAAGTAAACAGGTCAAATTGACCATATAAAATCACTGTGGGTAAATTGTGGAATTTTCATAAGGACATCAATATAGTAATAATAATAATAATAGCAGCAATAATTATCATTAATTACTGTAATCAAATAAAAATTTTAGTGTAAATTATTCCATAACTATACAGAATTTAAGTAAAAACATGTTATAAAAACATTTCCATGACATTTATTTAACCTCACAAGTATTTATATCAATTGTAGTAGCAAATATGATATAACTTTACCAATATTGAATTTAAAAACATTTATATTAATTCTTTGAGATTTAATAGCATTCGAAGATGCCTTTATATACCATAATTGTCACTGAATTTTTTTTCAAAAAATGCCGTTAGAGATGGATCTTAATAACAATTATGAAATGCCATTATCATGTATATCTATCGTAATATTTATTTGAGTAAGTTTTCCAGAAAAATGTCATTACAGGTTAATTTTGTTGCAAGTATGTTAATTAAACTAATGTAAAATTAACGTAATAAATATAATAATAATAATAACAAATTTATGTGAATAGAATGGAAACTGGATCTATTGAAGAGAAAACACAATACCTTCCTATGTCTAGTTTCTCGTCCAGCTCCGGTGAGCTAGCCGGGAAAGGCAACCAGCACAAGCATGAGAGGATTGAAAACGGAGACAAACAATAGACCTCTCATCACCTTAGCCTGCTTCCACAGTCAATGAGCCTACCTGCTTTTATTTTTGGCCATAGAAATAAAGGAAATTGTTACAATTAGCTAGCAAAGATTGTGAGCTAACGTTGATGATCTAAAAGCGTTATTCCCCTTGTTCTACAGGAAAGAAACAATACAAGCACTGAAAATTACCTGAATTATCAACCATAATTAAAGGAAAACAGAAGCAGCTGCTAAATGCCGTTAAAAAAGCCCATGACAAGTTTATGATGACATGAAGGCATCTGGTGTCCCTGAACATTACTATGATGATGCAGAAGTTTAATGATGGTTGACTAGATGTCAATTTCAACTCCTTCGTAAAAAGTGATAATAATATAAAATTTACTGGAATCTTTTTTATATAAAACCGAGACATCGTATTTGTATAGTTTTTTTGGTCTCGGGGTTTATTTTCATTCTCATGTTATTTTAGTATTGAATAACTAGTGAGTTTATGAGTATTTTAAAAAATTTAATTTTTACTCAAATTTAAAAAAAAATCATATTTTTTTTATATATAGGTGATTTAAAAAAAATATATTATATTATAATCTATTTAGTTAGTGTATTGAAATATAAAAATCATTAAAACTTTAGTTTACTTTTTATCATATTACAATTAATATTTATTTCATCATAAAAATAAATAGAAAATAATAATTTTTTAATGTTATCAAAAATATTACTTGACTTAGTTTTTTATTTAATTTAAATTTTAAAAATTTTAATTAATTAGGTATAATTATTATCATTATACTCTTTTATATTTTAAAAACTTTAAACTCATTTCCCGTAATAAGTTATATATAAACTCTCTCAACAGATTTTTAATCAGTAAGTTCATAATATTTTCATTTGACCCGAGTACTTCAACCTTAAAAAGCCCTCCATTATATGCTTTAATTATGACTATGATTATTAAAAATGTGTTTGGTAATGTTATAATTTTTATGGTTATGGTTTTAAAAAAAATATTTTTAATTGAGGTTAGTTTGGTATTTATATATGTTTGGTTGAAATTATGGTTGAAATTAAGGTTAAATAAAAAATAGTTTAGTATATTTGGTTATTAAACTGAGGTTATAAAATAACTAAAAAAGATATATATTAATATTGATGATTTTTAATTTAAATATTGTAAATTTAACTATTGTTATTACATCATTAAAAAAATAATATTTTATATAAATTCATCTAACAAGGATATATAACGAATACTTTTTAAATTGAGGTTATAAAATAACTAAAAAAGACATATATTAATATTGATGGTTTTTAATTTAAATATTATAGATTTAACTATTATTATTATATCATTAAATAAATAATATTTTATATAAATTTATCTAACAACGACTACAATTTCTATAGTTTTTTAAGTGTGTAATAAAATCAGGTAAAATATCATTAGGAATAAAATTGAAATTATGATAAAATTATGTAAATATTATGTCATCATATGATCTCCTTCTAATTTATACAGTGTCATTGAATAATATTAAATACTAATTTTTTAAATAAAATATAATTAAAATTAAAAAATAGTTTATATTTTATTAAATCAGACCCAATCTAATATATTTAGATTCATACTAAACCCGGTCTGACTATTGATAACAGATTCAGCCAAAGTAAATTTTTAATTCATTTTTCATTATTCACTTATTCACGCTGGACGTGATACTATGGATTCAGCCCAACTATGCAAAGTGAGTTAAATTCACTTTGCACAATTCAACTGAAGAGTGAATTATAATTCACTCTGCACATATGAATGACGTGGAACATCGGCGATGAAGCAACAATTTTTTATTTTTGTTAAACTCGAGACACAACAACAAGTATAATAGATTCCACCACAATAAAACTCTGGTTTTTAACTTGATCAAACATCAATAACTATGATAAACAATCAACCTCACCTGTAGTGCAGGCAATAAACATGGAATGGTTGGTCGAACATGGTTATCGAAAAACCATGTTTAACTTATATGTTGATGTTGCGAGTTGTTTTCACTAATGTAAACTGTGTTTTAAAATTTTTTAATTTTTTTATTAAAATTTAATTTTTTTATATATTTTGAATTTTTTTATATACTGATTTTAAAAATAATTTAAAAAAATAAAAAAAATATTATTTTAATATATTTTAATATAAAAAAAATAATTTTAAAAAAATAAAAAAAATATTATTTTAATATATTTTAATATAAAAAATATTTTAAAAAATAATTATAATCACACTCTCAAACAACCCGCTATTGCTGCTGTGAAAAAAAGTTATTGCTGCCTTGTTTACTGAAATTCTATTTCTGCAAAAGAACTATTTTTCTGCTGCTGGAAAGAGTTTTTCTTGCTTCTTGGATCTATTATCCACCTAGGCACTGATTGTTATAAACTATTAAAAACAAGCAATTTTGAATCTCTGTATATCTTATTAATCGATATTCAACATGCATCTACACACACAATTGAAATTCTGAATACATATACTTTTAAATTTTCATGGAGATTACACCTTTAACTATTATAATCTAATAAGAATTCTAATTAACTAGTTAAATAAAAATACTATTATAATCTAATAAGAATCCTAATTAACTAGTTAAATAAAAATATTAATTAACTAGTTTAATAAAAAAATTAATAAAAAATCACTACTTGCACTAGGATTTTATGAACTATAATGTCGGAATGATACATGCATATCATTCCTTCCCTTTCATCTCCTCTGCGTCATTTTATTTGAAGTCTCAAGGTAGAATGTTATTCCCTCACCTTTTTCTCTTTTCTGCATCATTTTCCTTCATTACTTTATTTTTTCGATGAACCCATCTCTACTCTGCTGTTGTCGGAACCAGTATCTTTTGTTGGAGAGGTAACAATGATGCCACCTTCCTGGGAGGTTTCGGTTTCTGACGGAGCAAGTTGTTTTTTTGCCTTCATCTCTTTGCTTTTACCCCATAGTACAAAATATAAACCACAAATGATTAACAATGCTCCTACTATGCTGTGAATAGGGGGGGAAAGAATAAGTTAAACCATATAATAAAATCCAATAAGGTATACTAGTTTTTGTAATTATAAGGCTGTGTATAAAAGTCTAACCACTAATTATCTTCCATGCTAAATGCCTATGATAAATTAAAAATATGAATGTCAACTTAATTTGAAATTTATAATAATTTTGTTAATAAATTATCGTTAACAAAAACATAAACAAGAAGACACCAAATTAAAAAAGGTATAGCTAAAATCGAATAAGATTGTAACATGTCATTCTATTTATAGTTTTATTATGGAATATTTCTTTTCAAATAATCCGGATCTTTACAAGGTCTAGAATTACTTAAATAAATTCAAAAATTAATTTAGAAAACTAAAAAATCTGAAGCAAAAAAAGATAATTAATTTTCTAAGCTAAATAGAAAGAAAAAAAAACAGATAATTTACTGATACAAGTACAGTATATATGAAATGTCCTTGATAAAAAAGAAATGTGATACCTTCCAAGATACAGTTTCTCAGCCAGTAGCAATGATCCGGCAATGGCAACTAACACAAGCATGAGAGGGCTGAAAATAGCGACGAACAATGGACCTCTCATGGCCAAGCACCATGAAATTAGTATCCCCATCAAACCAGAGCCCGCGACTCCCTACATACACAATCAGCTTTTACTTGAAAAGGGAATCGCTAAATCAGGAACACAGATAAACAAAAGTTATCGGAGCTTAAAGAATATCTTCGATCGGAGATCAATAAATGGCTTGCCGAGCATTAAAATGAATATACCGAAAAAGCTGCGGTGAGGAGTCTAATATTCCATCCCAATTTCCATTGATTCCAGTCCCTTTCAAGACAAAGAGCAAAAACAGTTGCTTGGATTGCTCCCATTGCACAGACTAAAGCCGAGTTTGAATAATGGCTCCGGTATCTTGCACTCATTTTAGCCTGTTTCCACGAACAATCAATTAATATACTTATTTGCTTATAACTGCAGGAAATTAATTAGTATTCTTTAAGTATGAGAAGTTAATTAGTTAGCTAGAGGATAAAAACAGAAGAAAAGAAAAACATGATTTCTTGTAGACTTGGTTGTGTTGAATTATATACATAAGAAAAGAAAAACATGATTTCTTGTCGACTTGGTTGTGTTGAATTATATATATATATATATAACGTATTATACTACAATGAAGGGATTATTTGAATTTATTAAAGAACACTATTCTTAATAGGTGACGCTGTTTGAAAAAAAAACAATTGTTGCTAATTTAACAAGCATGCATGTTATTAAAAAAAAAAAGCAAAAAGATTATGTCGCATTTACAGATAACCTCAAAAGTAAGGAATTAAACTCGAAGAAATTATTATTGTCTAAAATTTACCACAATTTCTTTTTAAAAAAGATCAAGTGTTTCTTGGATTTAGCTTGGACCAGCTTAGGCATGCTAATTCAACACTTTTGGTATAGATAATGTGCATTTTGATATTATCGTGTAAAATATTTTATAAAATTAGTGTTTATCATTTATTTTAACATTAACATATTAAAATACTAGTAGTAAAAATTACCTGAACTATCAACCACGAAGAATAAGACAAGCAATTCAATAACGCCATGAAAAAGCCCAGGATACGCCCGTGACCATGAGATGAAGCCGCATGAGCGTACTGACGATGATGCAAAAGGTTAACTTTTGCTGACCCGTTGTTAATTTCTACGCCTTTGTAGAATGTGAGAAGCATGGCACCACCGATTCCCATCAATGTCCCTATAGCCTTTGCCTTTCCTTTTGCAGACGCCAGCTCCATTCTCTCCATCCTTTTGATCAAGTTATACGAATGAGAAACAAGGTAAATTTGCCATAAAAATATAGATTAAACCATTTTTAAAAAAGAAAAACATAGAGTAAACTAGCCTTTGTTTTTAATTAGTTGTCGTGTTTAAATTCTTATATTTATTAGTAATTAACTTAGTCCTTCTATGTTCATGATAATGTATTTCCTAATTAAAAATGCCCTTTTATTGTTAAAGATCTTCCAACTTGTTATGCTACAAAATAATAAACTAAAAAACACTTTTTTGAAAGGAAAAAAAATAGAAAACTCTGGGCAATGAATTAACTTAATGATTTTGAAAACTACACTTACAAAGTCATTATGATTTATAATTTTCTATGACGGATCACTTCCATTAATTGCACAGTAAACTAGTAGAACGAAACGTTGTATGAGGTAACGCACTTGTATATTTTACCTAAATATTAAGGCTAAGATGAAGGTAACAGCTGGAATTAGGTTAGCCATGGCACAGGCAAAAGTTGCAGATATTAAAGCCAAGCTTTCGATGTACGCATTTTGAGCGAACGAACACCTGGAATAGAAAGTAATTCATGAATATCGTATCTTTATAAAACAAATCAACTTGATATGCTGACTGATTTCTCTTGAAGTGATTGTTTACTAAAATGATCGCTCACCCGATAACAGGGAAAGTGCAATGAATGTCAAGCAACTGTTATTTTTGTTCTCTTAATTTTTCATTGAACTGTGATGACATGCAGCTTACCCGAATAAACCACAAAAAAATGCTTGAATGATTATTGTCCACGTTAATTCCCCCCTGTTCTTCCTGCAAAAACAACACATAACAATTATTAGATTGTAAACGAGTACATAGAACTTTTAATTTAATCTTTTTTTTCTTTTGTGTTATAGACTTTAAACCTTTTGGTTTATTCGTTCCTTTCCCCTAATCTTCTGGTTATATATATATATATATATATATATATGAAGTATCAACCTGCTACTGGTGCATGCTTAAGCTTCCCGCCAACACAAGTTCTACGCAGTAAAGTATATATATATATATATAGAGAGAGAGAGAGAGAGAGAGTACAAGGAAACCACTAATTTCCTTTTCAGTAATAGTTTCATGACAATTCCTGCGAGTAAGAAAAGAAGAATTGAAGAACCTTGGGAATGGCTAAAGATACTAGTCTCGCGCGACCAGATTTACTGATTAAGACGTTACATAGAATTATTAAATGACGACATGAATTGACACATGATATAGTAAAATAAAAGATAGAAAGTTAAGGTTTTTTAAATCTTCAAAATTACAGTTTTAAATTATATATTAAGAAATTAGAGTTTTCTAAAACCTAAAATTATATAAAGAAAATTCTGATTTTGAAAAACAACATAAAATATAAAATCTTAATTAAGAAAGTTAAGGAATGAAAGAGACGATGAAATGATAATGGTTGACTAGTAGAGTAGCAGCCATCCTTTGTGTGTGTGTGTGTTTAGAGTTATGTACAATAATAATGATGAAAAACACTATAAATGATAATAAAGAAAGAAATATTACAATAACTAAGAAAATATAAAAACCTAATTTTCGTTTGACCATTTGATTCTTTGACGAGGAGAGACCACAGAATACGGAAAACTTTATAATAAAAAAAAATCCGCGTAAGACCATTTGATGCTTGGACGACGAGATTACGGAAAACTTTATAGTAAAAAAAATATCGTTAAAGAGCAAAGTGAAACAATTTTATACCGCCAATGGACAACGAGATATGTAGAAAACGAACAAAAACTCCTTTCTCTTGCATGCATTGATAGTTCGAAAGTTTCTGAATATTTGTAAGAATATTGTAAATAATAAGGAACATTAAAATATACTTGAGAGAGATGGTTAAAGAAGCAAGAGGCCAAACCTCTCAACGATGAATGCAAGAGGAGCCATGAAAGCAGTGGCAAATATGAATCTATAAGCAACGATAATCTTCAAATTCATCCCATCATTTGCTGCCAATTTGTACAGAACGTTCACTGCCGCAAATGCAACTTGAACCAGCACCATAAGCAATGCAGGTTTCAACCCTTGTGACACTCTACAAATTCGCTCCATCCCAAGATTCCAAACGTTCAAAAGCCAATTTACATGTAAATAGAACTAGATAGTGAGATGGAAGGTAAGAAATCAGAGAGAAGTAGATTTAGATAAAGAAGAAAATCAGAGAGAAATAGATTCTGTATCTAAGATATAGCCTTGTGTGGTTCTGGTTTTGGTTCGCGAGTAGAAAAAAAAAAAAAGAAAAGAGATTTGGATTTGATGTATGCAAGTGCCAGGTGTGAATGCCTTAGCCCTTGGGCAACGTGGAGAGAGTTCCCAGGATGTATAAACGGTGAAAAGTTGCATTTATGGCAATAGTTCTGTGGCTAATAGCCATTTACGTCGGTGGGTAAATGTCACTGCTTACAGAGCACCTCACATGGGAGTGATGTGGTCTCTGAGTTCCTAAACAGATCTGGAGAACAAAAAATATCGAAGAAAGAAACAATGCATATTGCGTTCTAACACGCAATACAAGGTTCATATATATTTATAAAAGAGTGAATTATCGGAGTGTTAACTTTTGTGTTTTAAGATATTTTTGAAAAAAATTAATTTTTTATTTTAAATTAATATTTATTTATTTTTAAATTATTTTATATGTTGATATTAAAAATAATTTTAAAAAAATAAAAAATATTATTTTAATATATTTGAAAATTCAAAATAAGAAATATTTTTAAAAATAATACTCTTAAACACCCTAAATAGGACACGTTATTACCTGTTTCAGATTTTCATATTTGAGGTTTTATCATTTTATGTTCTTTTATAACCTTTCCAAAATATTAAAATATAATATCATTGTTTTTTCGTTTTCTTAAAAAAAATAATAAATAAATGACGTGATGCTTTCACAAGATAATCATTTTAGAATAAATTAAATAAAGCTACATATGTAATCTCGATGATACGAAGGAGATACGAAGGAGATTTTGTTCAAATAAGAGAATCCAAATTAAATTTACGAATTAATATTGGTGGAGAATTGCTTCCATTTGTAATCAGAGGCCCATTAGAACATCCACTTAATAATACTAATAAATAAATTTAACAAAATGCAGTTGAAGTGGATGAAGAAGAACCTTTTGAAAGGCTTTATTGGTAAGTTAAAAGGATTAAAAAAAAAACTAAATGGTACTAAGAAAGTATAATTTGCAAACACGTACTATATTATAGATTATAATAGTAATTTATATTTTTTTTTTGCCATTTTTATTTATTCTGATCCATTAATATTTTTATTTTTTTATTTGTTCCTTAAAAATTACATTCTTCTGCATTTGTGCTTGGTAATTTTTTTTAATACATAAATTATAGGATCTCAAGGTGTGTTTATCTAAAATCAGGTTTGATGTTTTGTTTTGGCCTTGCAGGGAAAAAACCTATTACTTACTTAGTGCTCCGTTTATCAAAATTAAATGTACTTTTATTGATTTTATAAGAATTGAATTTGAATATTAGGCAAGTATCTAACCCTTTTTTCTTTAAAGAATCCGAGATAGAATTGCATGGGCAGAGGAAACATCAACCCTATCCTTGGTCATTTAATTTATTTTTTCAATTTGATTCTTTTAAATTTAGATTATTTAGGATGAGAAGTAACAATTTTTTTCCTATTGCCTAGAAATGATAATCCTGAAATGTCTACAAAAAATTATGACATGTCGTTGATACTCTATTTTATAAAATAAAATTTATTTTTATTGATCTAAAACAATTAAGACTTGTAGATCTAAATTTAAATATGAAACAAAAATATCGGAACTGGTGTAAATGAGCAATTATAAAGAAACAATGCATGTACTACATGTGTTAGTGTGTGAAGAAAATTGTTGTGTTTTAACAGCGTGTGCAGCTTCCTCTAGTATTGTCCCTTTATTTTTCTTTGTGTCCTTAAAAACATCTCAATGAGGTCATTCTGATGGTGCGACATGTGGTGTGGGTGGAGGCACATAGCGGTTGGTTTTTTTTCTTTCTCTATTTTCTCTTCTTCTTAATTTCCACACTCATTCTCATCGAAATAACAAGAGGTATTGATATTTTTATTGTCAAATTTGATTCTTGTTCTATTGATTGATATTTGTTTTATTTTAGATTCTTTTTTTAATTTTTTTTAAATTTTACCCTTTATTGGGTTGATTAAGAATTAGACTATATAATTTTTCTTGGTTTGCTATCTATAAGGTAATTTCAGTCTCATGACTCTACTTATTGATTTTGAATGTTAAATTGGTTGACTATGGTCTTTCTTTTTATAATTGATTTTTTTTTCAATTTCATCCTTTAACATTAGATTGATTAAGAATTGAGTTTGCTTTTTTTTATATGGAGCTCATGACTTAGATCAGGGTTTGATGAATTAACCCGAGTTTACGCAGTTTTTTTCATTATTTTGTTAAATTGGATTATTTTTTTAGTTTTGTTAAATGTTATTAAACACACTTTGAATTTCTTGGGGTTTCTCTTCTTATGGGAGCATTTGATGCTTTTAAAGCTCTAAATATTCCCAAATTGCAGCCTCATATAAGCCTCTAGTGGTTCTAGGATTTGTGGGACTCGAACTAGTGATCTCTAGGAAGCAAATCTAAGGCCTAACTAGTTAAGCTACATCCATCATTGTTATATGATATTTTTATATAAATATTGAAATGACAATATCTTGAATCGATTCGAGTCAACTTAAGTTATCTTCTCAGTCCGCATGTTGGGTCATGAGACCATAATAAACTCATAGAAAGCGTATCAAAATAAATTATGAGACCCAATTTCTACTAAACTCAATACCAAGTGATGAATTAAAAAAATATATCCCAAAAAATAACATTAGTCAACTCATGTTAACCTGCAAACTCATAATTTGAGTTATGGACCATGATAAACCAATATAAATTTTTTTAAAATAAATTATAAAACTTAATTCTCAATCAATCCAGTGTTGAAAAATACAAATTGAAAAAAAAAACAATTAAAAAAATAACTCGAGTTAATCTAGGTTTGTCTGCTAAACTCGTGACTCAAGCCATGAGATAAAGGTAACCTTAAAAAAAAAACTGGAACAAACTTCAAAGTTTAATTCTTTATCAACTTAATGTTAAATAAAAAAATTAAGAATAAAAAGTCTATTAGAAAAAAAAAACTTGAGTCAATCAAGTTAACTCATTAAATCCGTAGTTCAAATCACGAGAATGAGATAACTTTAATAAAAGTTATGAAGCTCAATTCTAATAAATCTAATGTTGAAAGATAAAATTAAAAAAAAAATATTTTAGAAGAAGAAGAAAACATTATTATAGTGAATAGTATTTTGTGAAGAGGAGTACAATAAAATCTCATTTAAAAAAAACGACCTAAAAATTAACATGAGTTAACTTGTCAAAATCATGATTTGAATTATAAAACTGAAATAATTCAATAAAAAGCAAATTGACACGATTATGAAGTTCAATTCTGAATTAACCTAGTTTTGAGAAATAAAATTAAAAAAATAACTCAAGTCAACCTGAATTTACCTACCAAAATCCTGATCCAAGTCATAAGACATGTATAACTTTATAGAAAATGAACCGAAACAAATCATGATATTTAATTCTCTATTAATCAAATACTGAAATATAAAATTGAGGGGGATAGTCAATTGGGGAAAGGAGAAAAAGACTTGAGTTAATTAAGTTAACTTGTTAAACTCGTATTTCGGATTATGAGATTGAGATAATTTTATAAAAAGTAAATTAAAAAAATTATGAAACTTAATCCTCATTAAATATAATGTTGAATGACAAAATTAAAATAAAAAACATAAATTAAAAAAGAAAAAAGCATTATTATAATAAATAGAATTTTACGAGGAGGTGTATAATGAAATCTCTTCTTTTTTAATATTTTGTTAAAGTTAAATGATTAAATTAAAATTAAAAACAAAACATAAATTTGTTGGTAAAAATAATTAAAAAAGAAACACTATTATAGCAAATAGTGTTTTGAAAGAAGAAGTACGGTGAAATCTTCTCCACTTTTAGTTTTTTTTTTTCTTTTGTTAATTAATGCTAAACATAACAAGAATATATTGTGCACAGTAATTGATAATCTTTTAAATTAATATTTGCAGCAGCACATAGAAGCTGCCATCTACGGCAATCAATCATCAATGAAGTTTTTTTTTAACATTATCTCGTGGCCGTGATCTTGATAGTAGTATTTAAAAGATAAGTTTGATGATTAAATAAGATTTTTAAGCTAAAAATATGAGATTTATTTATTTTAATACAATAAATTAACATAAGGATATATTCTTAAAATTATTTTTAAATAATTTTAATTTTAATTAACATACAAATTCATTAATTTTTCTACATGTGTTAATGATTTATTATATGAAAGTTAGTCTATTAAACATGCTCAAAAAACATGAGTTTAAAGTAATGATCTTCCTTTAATGTATATTTAGAAGCATAGCAGGTATTGTTTTTTATTTTTTTTTAAATATATAAAAATAATATTTTTTATTTTTAAAAAAATTTATTTTTGATATCATTGTATTAAAATAACTCAAAAATATATAAAAATTAAAAAAAAAAATTAAAAAAAATATTTTTTAAAAAAATATTAAACCTCGATAATAAACACAAAATTAATTTTAATTTCCTCGACATAGAAGGTTAGTTAAAAAAAAAAAAGGAAAAGTTTCAAACATGACGAGGTAAATGGTAGCGGTCCTTGTGAGATTGCTGACATCACTAGTCAGCTGGCATATATCAAATGACATGCTAGTCCAACAGCTCGACACACAAACCAAGACAGATCTCTCGGTAATATCCACGAATTTGTCACATTAGACGAAATGGCGCTTCGTGCCAACAAACACGCCATCCTCCCTCGAGCAACAGAATGAAAAAGGTGCTGGAAAATTGTCCCTTCTGGTTTACCATTCCCATTTTTGTTTTTATCTTTGTCGTGGCTAAACGAGTGCTGTTTTCCTGAGTCAAGCCTCTTTTTATCTTAAAAATATTAAATTATCTTTTTAAGTGTTTTTTTAATTTTAATATATTAATATAAAAAATTTAAAAGAATATAATTTTAATTAATTTTTTTTGAAAAATATCAACAAAAAAAAGGAAAAAGTTTTAAATGTAATGAGGTTCTCAAGTCTTGTCAAAAACATTTATTGGGTGGGCTAAAATGACTTTGAGAAGAGTGATTGACAGATGGAATCATGGAAGATGCCAAGTTAGCGAGTAGCTTCTAAGCATCACTTGGCAGCAATACCTATCAACCAAAATATTTTCCCATAACTGCCAACTCACACATAAAAATTGCTTTCCGGGATTGGTGGGCGACCCTTCGTTCTGGGTCCTTAGTTGGTATTGCGTACGTGTGGCTGGGTTGCTTGTGAGAAATAATTTTATTGTTTTTAAAATATTTTTTATTTAAAAATATATATAAAAATAAATTTTTAATTTTTAAAATTTATTTTTAATTTCAATATATAAAAATTAATGATGGAAAGTAAAAAAACTATATTATTTACTGATTTTTGCATCAGATTCACAAATTCCTCACTACTAGGAATCTCATGACACTATTTTGAGTTACATAAAAAAGTTTTGTTAAGTTTCAATTGAGTTTTTTTATTTTTATATCCTTTTAATTATATCTCTAATTAACCCTAAATCTTAAGTTTGGTATGATTTAGCCCTTGGCAAAACTTCAATTGAAACCTCAAGTTTATACGTTTTTTGTAATGTAGTCATTGGTCTCAAATTTATGTAATTTCACTCCTAATTGACCATTAAATTTTCAAATTATGCAATTTCAATCCTAGTTTTTTGTCAATTAAATCCTTATAATTTGATGCTTTTTATAGATTCGTCCTTGGCTGCTAATTTTATCAATTTAACCCCTAATTGACCCCAAAACTTTATTTTTTCTATAATTTGACCCTTAATTTCAATTAATTAACTTGATAAAAATTAAATTTGTTCTCGTTTCAATCTTTTCAATTAAGCTTAAATTAGTCTTTTAAACTTAATTTTTCACCAATTAAGTCCTAAATAAAATTAATTTGACTCATTTAATATATAATTAAATCCTTGTACTTAATTAAACCTTCCAATTGAATCCAGATTAATTCTTAAATATAATTAAAATTTAATTTAGCCCATGATTAAATCAAGTTGATCTATTAAAAAATTAATTATATTTATACAAATTCGTTCAATAATTATATAAGACGAGGTTAGGTATTACTTTAGCTATTGACCCTTAAAACGAATATATAACCCGTGTCATTTAATAAGGTGATTAAACCCTTGGGACAGGGGATGAGTTACGGTTTCAAATCTTCGATCCCATCTCATATAGACATACTAATTAACTAAAACAACGTAGATCTTGTCTCAATTACGGCACTAGGTATTCTAAAACGACAATAACAATAAATCACTTGACTTCTTTTTATTTAAGAGAGACAAACACACGTTAGAAATAAAAAGATTTGCGACAAATTAAAAAAGCGTCCGTACTTTCTTATTAAACGAGAGAGGCACGTTACAAAGCCAAAAAAAGAAAGAAAAAAGGTTTCCCTGGCAACGAAAGGCAAAAGAGAAACTGGTCGCGAATGGAGTAGTGTTAATTAATTAGGGAAGGGATAAAGAGTTGGTGAATAAAATAAAATAATTACTCTCCACTCTGTAACATACACATGACAACTATAGTTTATTTTTTTAGGAAATATTCAAGATTGATCTTGCATTGATTTTTCTCGTGTGCTCATATACATAATTAATTAAATTAATTTTTTTTAAATTAAAATTAAACTGAAATTAGTTTAAACATATTATTTCAGTTAGATTTGGTTTTTAAAAATTTATTCAATCATGTTTGGCTCGGTTTTTTTAGTTTTAAAAAACCGAACTGATTAGTTTTATTAAAATTTTAATTATTTTTAACAATTTGATTTTTTCAATTATTTTTTTAATTTTCTTAATTTTTTAATTTTTTTACTTACTCCTATAAATTACTAGGCCCATCAACCTTCTTTTGTTACCTTACCCGCACATTATTAGTTCATATGTTTTTTTCAAATGTAATTCTGTAGTTTTGTCTCTGATCAATAGTAATTTTGGTATATGCAATAATAAAGAGAGTTTTTTTTCTTATAATAAGGTAATCTTGACTGTGAAGGCTCCAAAAATGCATCTGGTTATGAGAAGCTTAAAATGAAAGAACGGTAATCCAAATAAACCAAAGAATTGAAAGCTCCACTAGAAAGAAAAGAAGTGAGCTATTTCAACGTACATACACTGAAATTCACGAATAATTCTCATATTAAACTCAATGATGCACACTTTCTTTGTAATCCATTCTTGTTATTTTTTCTTGTTTCATCTAAAACACTTGAGTAGCAGCAAAAATTAAAAAAAAAAAAACTTTTAAGTTTTGTTCATGATAACACCGGTAATTCTATATAAAAAAATAAAAAATTATATTCTTTATAATAAAAAACCTATCACTAGAGTGGTGTTTGTTATATTAAAAAAGGATTTTTTCAAAGTATTTTTTTAAAAATGTATTTAAATAATATTTTAATTATTTTTATACTTTACTTTTTACATCATCCCACTAAAATAACAAAAAATATTAAAGCAAAACAAATTAATTTTCTTCAAAAATACAATTCTACCGCAAAAATAAGTACTGCCGAACCAATAAAGCAAGAGCGATAATGATAGCTTTGAGTGAGTTTATATATTAATTATTTTTTGAAATTCATATCTTATAATATATTAATATTAATATGATGTTTTTTTAAAAAAAAAATTAATGACCAATGAACCCAGTCATGACTCGCATATAATTAGATTCAGACACGGAGATTCCAGTTTCCCATACTTTACAACGGCTAAATCCTCAACCTAAAAATAAAATAAAATTCCTTTCCTGCTCGGTTTCTGATTTCTTTCAGCAACTCCCTTGTATAAATAATCCGTTACTCACAAAAAAAAAAAAACAAAAAAAAAAACATATTATTTCTCTGTAAGAGCTAGAGACAATGAAAAGTGGGGATCTAGAGAGAGGGACAAAGAACAGAGGAAATAACTCAAATTTCCCTTCATACTATGTTGAAACAGCAGAGAAGCAGTGGACTTCTTGGCTAATTCCCATGTTTGTTGTTGCCAATATTGCTGTTTTTATTGTTGTCATGTATGTCAACGATTGTCCTAAAAAAAATCTCGATTCTGAACGTGGTTGTGTGGCTAAGGTCCTTGGCAGGTTCTCTTTTCAGCCGTTGAAGGAGAACCCTCTGTTTGGCCCGTCTTCTGCTACGTAAGTTCTCTCTTTTGCTGCTTTTGTTCAAAATTGTGAGCTTTATTGGTGTTTTGATGTGGGTTTGAATTTGTTTCTTGATTGGGGTCTTGTGTTTGGTTTGGGTTTGTGAGGTTTTGTAGTTTTTGTTTGTTTGATTTTGGATTGGGACGTTGAGGGATTGGTTAGTAGTTCCTTATAACTTAATTTTAGATAATCCTTTTCTTTTGCCTGTTAAATGGTTCTGATTTGGTATGTTCGATACTTGTTACTAGTGTTAATTGAGACAAGGGCTTAATTGCGCTCATGACAACATATAGTACCAGGTGTTTATAAGAAATATTTGATGAAAAGTTCTGTTTTTTAATCTTGCTTTTACTGGGGAGCATCTTTTCCACTTTATGGACGACGAAATTTGTTCTTGCGATCAGGTATCAGGGCAGAGTGAAAATTACGGTTTTTGGACTTGGTATGGAGTTGAATTTATCACCAAACGGTTCTGGAAGCTTTTTGTAAATTCTCTGTGTTTTCTTCACTTTTAAAGGTGCTGGAGTTTTGAGAACACGAGGCTATATCTTGTATTTGGTTTACAGATCAAAGACTACAAGATTAAATTTTAATCCGTAATTCACGGAGACATATCTAGTAATGCTTATGATCTCTTGAGTGCTGTAGACTGGTGTCTTGATGGATTGGATTGAGCAGTGTGATGACATAAATAGTATTCCATGTCAAGTTCTTACTTGAGCTGCAACAAAAATTCTTAAACATTACAATTGTTGCAATATGTTCAAATTTATGTGCCTTTACTGCTTGTAGGAAAGCATCTGTAAGCAGCCTTCTAATTCATGTGGCAGAAGACAATTGCTTGATTTCTGTTGAGGAACTTTGATAGTTAATCTTAATGTGCTGATGATTGTGCAGTTTGGAAAAAATGGGAGCTCTTGAGTGGAACAAAGTAGTGCGTGGAGATCAAGGATGGAGACTCATCACCTGTATGTGGTTGCATGCTGGTGTTATTCATGTGCTTGCAAATATGTTGAGCTTGGTCTTTATTGGGATTCGCCTTGAACAGCAGTTTGGATTTGGTATGTCATGTTCTTTTATTTTGGTAATCTATATCAAATCTTGTTGATTGTGTGCCTGCATCACAGCTTAAGTTGAAATCAAAATGCTTGCAGTTGCATCATTTCACACACACATGCGTGCGCCCTCACGAGCGAGCGCATTCAAATGCTACAAAATGGAGACTGGAAATACCTTATTCCTTGGAATATTATTGTTCTCACACTTTTAGCACGACATCAAGTTTTTAGTACACTCATCTTTATGGTTTTTACCATTTTATCATAAAACACATGCATAGTAACATGTATTTTGAAATATAATCTGGCAGTGCGAGTTGGGCTTATCTACCTAGTATCAGGATTTGGTGGGAGCATCTTTTCTTCACTTTTTATTCAGCGAAACATTTCTGTTGGTGCATCTGGTGCTTTGTTTGGACTTCTTGGAGCAATGTTATCAGAGCTTCTTACCAACTGGACGATCTATTCTAATAAGGTATGCTGTCAGCTGTTGGTTTCTTTTGCATGCATAGAAAGGTTCTCTGTGTACTCATCATCTAAACATTCAGGTTTTGTGTTTTATGGACAGCAAAAACTTGAACTGGAAACAAGCAGACACTCCCATTTGTTTCTGTTTTTTAAATGTTTACACATACACTCAGCTGTCCCATGCGCTATGCATTCTTTAAACTGTTAGTTTAGGTTTTCAGATTTTATGGTTGTTTCATATGGTTCATATATTGTAACAGATACAGATGCCTGCCTACTAATTCCTGGGACCAAGACCAATGAGACCAAGACATTCTTTTGTGATTGCTTGTCTGATTGGCTGCTTCATTTTTTTTTCAACTGGCTTTAAGTAATTTACATCTCACAACTACTTTCTTCTTCTTGTAGATTGCTGCTTTCCTCACACTCTTGGTTATCATCGCCATTAACTTAGTGGTGGGAATTCTTCCACATGTTGACAACTTCGCACACATTGGAGGTTTCTTTACTGGTTTTCTCCTTGGCTTTGTTTTGCTACTTCGTCCACAGTTTGGTTGGGTAGAAAGCCGGTATTCTCGTGCAGATGCTCATGTAAAATCTAAGCACAAGGCTTACCAATACATGTTCTTGCTGGCTGCTGCAGTCTTGCTTATTGTTGGGTAAGTTTTTTTTCTCTCGAATTAAGCAATGTGTTAGATTAATTCAATGCTCCTCTGGCGTCCTCAAACATCAACAGCTTATCTTCACGAAACCAAGTTTTTGTCTGTTGTTTCTGAAGGCAAGTTTTGTTACGGATGAGCGAGTGCAAAAACTTGTTTCTAATTTCCTGTGTCCATTATTATGTACATTGCAGGTTTACCTTGGGATTGGTAATGCTGTTTAAAGGAGAGAATGGGAATGATCACTGCAGTTGGTGCCATTACCTAAGCTGCGTGCCTACTTCAAAATGGAACTGCGAGAACCGATGAAGATTTTTCCAACTTATCTTCTGTTTGATCATTTTTTTTGTTCTTTTTTCCCCTCTATTTGTGTTGATTTTCATTTGTTCATTTTTTTGTTATGCTTCCACGTGTAAGTAAATGACACTGGGATTGACTTTGGACATAAAAAGAGTAATATAACGTTTTTTTTTTTTTTTAATATAACGTTTTAAAATCTTCAAGGTGGGTCTAATAACTTACAGAGCATGAACTACTAGCAATCCCTTGTTAATGTAATACTCGGCATGGACGCACATGATATTATTCCTTTTTCTAACCCTTTTTCGATGAGAGACCAAATCCGAACTCTATAACTGGCATCTCTTTGGTGGAAATGTCCCAAATGATGTCCCATCATTAGTTGCCTTCTAACACGTTGAACTAATTTAACTAGGTTTACTTGCAACTTGTCAATCAATATTAAAATAATGAATTAGTCTTAGCATCCAAAATACAGGTCTGGTAAGTGTTGACGTCAGTTGTAATCCAAATATTACGATGCAAGAGTGTGAGATAAAAGATCCTTACAAACTATTAATTGCTCTATGATGAGCAAGCTATTATTTAATCCTCGTGTTTTAAGTGAAATAATTAGTTAATTTTTTTTAGTTAAAAAAAAAAACTCAATACTAAATCTCTATAAATATAAAAATTTTAATCAAATAAATTTTGATAAAAAAACAATTTGATAATGTTGCGATTTAAAAACATAGCATAGTGAAATTGCTATATTCTATCTTAATTGGTCAATTGATTGAATCTAGTTGTCATTAAAAGATCAACTACTTCATAAAAAAACTATAATTTTATGAATATTTTCTTCCAAATATATTTTATAATCAAAATATATATTTTTATCCATTTTGTAGATTTAAAAATAGATTTCAATTAAAATATCAAAAAATTATTATTCACACAATAAATAAGTGATTCTAAATAGTTAAATATGAGTTTGTTATAACTAAATAAAGATATACTCCAAATAGATTATGTAGATGGTATGGTCACTATGAGAAATTTGGTCACACTAAACTATGATAATAGTTTAAAAAAGATATAACTTTTGATCCGACAATTGAATCACGATGAAATTTTTATAGGAGTTTTCAGAGACTGTTTTCTTTATAGCAGCCACTCTGTCACTATACGAACCATCAAATCTTTAGATATAAAAAAATATTGTTAAGACTACCTAATTTTGATAATTTTAAGATTTTTCTTGTTATTTTTTATATTAATTGATCAATTTTACTAATCATTACAAACCATTCAACTAATTATATTAAAAATAGCATAATTTGACCAAGTCATGTGTAGAAACAAAGATACTTAGTAAATGTTATTATTTTAAAGCGTGATATTAGTTCACTCCTATATTAATTCATTAATTTTTTAAATTTTATATGCTAATTTTCAAGAATAAGGTGTTATACAGATGCAATGGCTGCAAATAAAAGAGTAATCGGGTATTGGGTTTGTTTCTTGATAGTAGAAAATCATGGGTTCTGCAAAAACTAGGAGATTTCAGCGGGGTTGATGTAAAAAGTGATAATGCCAATGGTGAGGTTGTCTTTTTCGTGAAGTGTTAAGGATAATTCAATTTAGTGTAGTCCAGGTGGGGGAGTTGTTTTTGCAAGTTTTGAATGATATGTCTTTGTTTCGTAAAGGATTACTTTCTGTTTTGTTTTTATGGTTGAAAAATATTTTTAAATATTTTTTAAAAAATTAATTATTATTTTAATATAATAATGGTAAAAATAAATTTAAACAATAAAAAAAATATTTTTAAATAAAAAACATTTTAAAAAATTATTATTATCACGAATTAAACCAGCTCTAAATGCATTCAAGGTCGTAATAAGCAAATTAAATGGATCCCTTGCCCGCAGAGCTTTGCTTGCAACTTCCATTGTTTAACATCACCGGGGAATAAGATAGAATCTAGTAAGATTTGTCTGTTAGAAGTAATTAATTGAAAAAAATGACTCTGGGATGCAACAAATTGTTCAATGCTCATCACGGCACGTGTTATTCCATTATTATTATTATTATTATTATTATTATTTTGCATTGATGCAATATATTCATTGAAAATGTAAATGGTTTTGTTTAATGTATAATGGCTCTTTAGTGATTTTTAAACTATAATGGTAATCCTATGATTTTTTTTTCGTGTACTTAATTCAATACATAAAATGTTTCAAGTATTATAAATATATAAAATATAATTTCTGAAACTAAAAAAAAAAAACACATGCAAATCTTAGAAGGGTAAGGGTAATTTTCCCATCTATCTTCAGAAAAGCTGATTGACTCTCTTTAATATTAGTGGGTTCATGGCCAGCACATAAAACATAAAGTCTACGGAGCTGTGAGGGACCGAAGGCCACGTAGTTGGGCCACTTAAAAAGCTTGTGGATGAACAAGGCAAGAGCTGCACATGCTGATGGCAGTGGCCTCCTCAGAATTTCCATGGATAAATTCGGCAATTAGTATATAATTTTTAAAAAATGGGCGAACCAATACCGCAGCAAAAATATATAGTAAAATAACATAATTTTACCTATTATGGTTTAAAACTATGATATATATTAAATATTGAGTTTTTAACTGATATTAATTCATTTCAATCCCGACAATTAAATTCTAGCTATTCTCTTGATCCCCGACTCTTCTCAAAGCACTCGCACAACAGATATTAATTCACCCAGCTTTCTCTGCGAAGTTCAACATCTTTTGATTCTGTTCTTCTACGTGCTCTTCTGCGAGGGCCTCAAGGCTGCCTTCTTCTCCTCCCTGTATGGACTCACCACACCTATATGTTGCTGAAGTGACAGTGTGGGTAGTGGCCATTTCCACATGCATGACTATCATTTATTGAGATTGGCATGTCCTTTTGTAGGCCAGAATCATTATTTTTATTATTTTTTTTGCATTTCTTTTTATATAAAATTAGGACAATAAATATATATTTTTTTCAAACATCACCCATTTTAAAAAAATTTAAAAAATTAATAAAGTTTGATCATGTCTCGCTTCTAAAACATGATCAAATTCTAATTTTGTCTCAATCGGTTAATCAGTTAGATCTAGTTAAATTAATCAATCTATTATTTTATAAAAAAATTATAATTTTATAAAGTTTTTCTTTTAAAATATTATTGTTCACACAATAATAAATGATTTTGAATAGTCAAATATAAATGTCATAACTAAATAAGAATTTATCCAAATAAATTATATAAATAGTCTAGTAAATATATTTATGGATCTACAAAATAAGTCTAGTCTCAAAATAAGATCATAACAAACTAAAATAATAATTAAAAAAACCATAATTTTTAATATGGCTATTAGATTGTGCTCAAATTTAAACATGAATCACTACATTGCTATGGGTTGGATATTTAGATATAAAAAATTTCATTGAGACCTTTTAATTTTGATATTTTTAAGATTTTTTTTTATTTTTTAAAAATTAGACAACTCTTTTCATTTATTATTACAAGCCAGTAAATTAGTTGAGTAAAAAATAACATACTTTCATCTTATCACACTTTAAAAATATAACATTTAATAAATATTATTATTCTAAATAATAATAATTATTTTATTATATTTTAAAATAATAATATTTAATAAATATCATATTTTTAATACTCAGAATCACCAAACCATTCTACATGACAAAAAAAAAAAATTATATCAAATCTTTAATTTTTTTTAATTTTATGTACTAATGATCTAATTTATCCAATTGTTTTTTTTTTTGGTCCTTCCAACCAACGCAATTGAGTGGAAACTGTACTTTTTCCTGGGATTTTAGGAATTTGGCAGCTAGTCGCCTCATTCACTCCCTCTCTCTACCTCCATTGTCACACACATTCAGAAAAGATAATGGCACTTCTGGTAGCCAAGGCTTCAAATCTTTACACGCATTTGCTAAAAAAAATTCTCTATTTTATTTCCCAAGAAAATAAAAAGGAATAAAACAAGTGACTCGTTTAGAAAAATTTGTAGAAGAAAAGGAACATAAATGAGTAAATGCCTCTGCCATGAAAAATTGACAAAATGGGGCTGTGTTCTTTGACTTAAGAGAGAAGAACGATGTCTCCGTAAATTCAACGACATGCCGTGCTTTCCACTGTTTTTCAAGTACGATATGTTTTTGCATTTTTCAAATGCGTTATTTATTAAATATTGTTTTTTCAAAACATAATCAGCTATACTATTTCACTAAAAACAAAAAAAAAATGATATTCCGTTATTTTTTTAATTATTGTGCTAATTTTTTTTAAAAATCCAATTTTTATTTGGGTATAACATGTACTAATAGATGTATCAAAACCTGCGCACTAATGCATGGCAGGGGGCAACTCAATCTTTCCACTGGAATATAAGATGTACCGGTCAGTTCCATTGATTGACCATACGGGGTGGCAGAAACCTAACCAAGTCTAGCTCTGGATGGCGACCATCACAACCACCGGCATCAACTTTCCCATGTCTTGAAAACATGTTCTTTCAATGCGATCTCCCAAATCCATGTGGGGCACGAGCTCCCTTTAAAGCTTGAGGTATTATTTATTTTGACATTATTAGCTGTTTAATTCACCAAATCGTCAGTGACGAAGTGTAAAATGGCATTGTACCGTGCTACGCCGTCATGATGCATTACAGGCATACAGGTAACCACTGCACAAATCTAAAAGTCGTTTATTTCAGAAAAGATAGCACAGATCAGAAAAGATTAAGAAAAACAGGCCGTAGATAATCGTAGTCAGGACATCGGAGATGATTCACACTCCTAGTTAAGCCTTAGTTTACCCCTAATACAGAAACACAGTTCAAATACACTCTATGTAAGATTTCCATTAACGTCTAGCCAGCGCCACTAGACAACTTAACACAGCTCAGACCAAGACAGATCAAGTATAAACTAAGTTACATACATTTGTTAGCCAGATTATAAGCTACTCCAAAAACTATGTTTTAGTATCTCTGCCCAATAGGCATTCCCAGCTTGTCCAATCGACCAGATCCAGGGTAAGCTTTGCTTGAAAAACTTGCACGCAAGGCAGAAGCAGGCTGTGCACTACTCGATCTAGGATCACCAAACCCGAAAACTGAGTATCTCCTGGTTGAAC